AGATAACTATAAGGCCTTAATAATCTAGCTAATATTACTCCTTATCTTCCTTATAGATTACTAATTCTGTATTATAGATTACTATCTTAAGGTCTGTTAGCTTAGCTAGAGCCTTTAGGGCAGCTATAGCAGCTAGTAAGTTATTTAATTAGTTTAATTTAACTAACTAAGTATTTAAATTAGTTAATAAGGTATTTATTAAAGCTAATCTAGCTTGCTTTTCTGCTTACTAATTAGCTAGAATCATTAGATTAACTAGCTAAATTAGTAGAATAGGGTAAGGCCTCTCTCCCTAGAGTATATTAAGCACTCTATAGGTCTAAGCTAGGCTGATTATATATATATCCTATATCTACTAATCATCAGGCTGATTAAGTATAATAGGAACCTTTATAGTGGCCTAGGGCAATAGTTCTATATAATATTCTATATCTAGCAGGTTAGGGGTAATAATAGTATTTAATATAGCTTTACCTCTTCTAAATTAGGTAGTTTAATCTTAAGATATCTCTCTAGCATGAGATAGGGCTCTTTTAAATAGGAACTACTAATTTTAGGTACTTAGAATAATTAAATCTATATATCTTAAAGGTAATCCGGGCTTATAACTGTTGGAAATTACTAAACTATATAAGATTACTTAATCACTAGTAATTTGCCTACTAATAAGAAAGCTCAGAAGGTATAATCCTTTCTAATCTATCATCTGACTAGCTAGATCTTATACCGCTGGATGCGGGTATCTAGATAGGGGTAATTGACCAATTATCAGCCATTAAGGGAACGTAATCTATCTAATTGAAATTAGGAAGGTCCATGCTGTAGGCCCAATCGGGCAAGCAGTAATCTATATCAAAACCTATTTTCTCCTTTTTTTTTGGTGGGCACCACCTCGCATACCGACACACCTCCCTCCTGATTCATTCCCCCAAATGCGGCCCTCTTCAGGCTGTTCAAGGCGAGGCTAACCAAAACTGCACTAGGGGTCAACCCGAGATGGGTTGCGCCTGAGACCTACCTCATCGGTTGGATGCGTCTCTTTTGGCTAGTCGGGATGAGAGTTGGTGCCGCTAGGTTAACTGTTATATAACTGGAGGTCAGAAACCTTATGGAGCTTTCACAATCATCTCATTGTCTCACTCCAGGTTTTCTTCATCTTAAAGTCGAGAAATTGATATGCATAGTTACGCTTATGTCCTCCAGAGTCTACCAGCGGAACTAAGCTGAATGCACTCAGGATGATCCTAGATGTTGCAAGTTGCGATTGGCGTCGTCTGGCAACTTCCGTTTGATTAGGATGTCTCCTGGGTGATGAAAGTGGAAGAGTGCCAGCACTCAGAACGCTTGTATTTCGTCAAAGATGTACGCGAATACCTCATGTGAATACAAATAGCTGTTTGCTCCATCTACGTGCTCGACAATTCGAAGGAAACAGCGACTGACCGAACAGCCCTACCATACACCGTCAAGGAAGTCGAACCCTGAACCACGCAAGCAGAGCCGGAAGCTGGCCAAGACGTACAGAAAGTTCCGATAAATATCAGTTGAACAACAGGACCCCCGAGCCTAACTTTCCGGTTGTATCACGCATATTGCCTTTGGGTTGGACGCTGCCTTCCTATTGGAGGAAAAAGGCAACAGCGTCTACAGTGACTAATATTCGAGTTGAGTTGCTCGGTTCAATGAGAAAATTGACCATGTTATTAGTTTTGTCACCTCAAAAGGTAGTTATGCAAGATTACCCAACCTAATAATTAGCCCTGCATCTTGATCTGGGCTATCTTAAGGGCCATCCAATAAGCCTTACTTTCTAGAGTCTCTCGCAGATATTGCTCGTAGGAAGCCACCACTCCCCACTGAGAATAATCATAAATGGCTTCGATATGTTCCAAGAGCAATCTCGACAACGCCTGATTAGCTCAACTTTGAAGCAGACAGGTTCTCCTTCATGATCTGCATATTATATGCGAATATCGCCTTTCTACGCTATGCAAAGTCCGAAGGGTCGAATAGAGGGTTCAATCGCGTCTAACGACGCCAGTACATAGAGAGCAGGAACGGTAGCAAGAGGGACAAAGGTAGCTTTCAGAATGTCTGAAGAAAAACAAGATACCTAGGGAGAAAGACTAAGTATATTGTGGTGCTGGTAATAATATGGCAAGCAGCGACAATTATATGACCGCCTCATTGTTTTGGCGGCATTGTCCGAACCTAATAACCACCGTTCCTCGGAGAGTACGAGGCCCCTTGAACAAGAGCAGGCTTTTCATACCTGCTTTGCAAACAGGCATCGATACTAAGCTCCAACCCATGGATGCCGGCCGTATTTTCCTCTTGTGACCAAACCGTTATAGCGAGTGTATTTGGACCATTGTAGTTTAGGATCCCTTCAGGGATCGGGTAGCGACATTGGGGTCCAATATGATTGACTAGGCGACCAGTCAGCTAATTAAGGGCCCCAAAGTTGAGCCTGGTACCGGCAATCCACTTACTATACTTTCCAAATTGCCAACCATTAATGAAAATTTCCGAGCGAAATTTGGCAGGCTTAGAGACGTTTGCGATCGTTGTGTTGGTGAACACCACACTGATGGGAACGTCGTAGCCTAGTGGGATGTCGAGATCGAACGTAGTCACGTAAAATCCGACACCTGGACCTGGAAACGCATCAAGAGGCGACAACCTCTCCCATTTCACTGTGGGTGCTCCAGGAAGGTGAAAGCCTTGCCGTTCTGCATAAAGCCCTCCTTCGTTTAGAGGGCCACGGCTGTGATCCTGGTACCTCTCCCCTCCTAGGTTCCCCGTCATTTTCCAGGAAATAGACGATTTCTCACGGCCATGTACTTGGTAATCTAGGATTCCCCTGGGATCCTTCATTGTCTGAACATTCGCGACAAAATTTTCGTCCAGTCCCATGTGGTCAATCAGGACTGTTAGTACATATGTTGCGCCGGCCCGAGGAGCTGTTGGAAACTTTAGAGTGTGGTTATAGAATATGTCGCCAGCGCTGCCTTCCCAAGAGCCAAGATAGGTAGAGTTCAACCAAACTGAATGGCCGTATGCATAGCCGCCTTCTGTGAGAAGATACATGGAAGACTCGGATCCGTTTGCGACAAAAGTTCCGCGATAAAGTAGAGAGCCAGCGTGATAGCCGTAGTCACTTGCATAAAGCGAAGTTGGCGTCGTCAGATTCCGAGGATTGTGAGTGCGGGACAGGTTGCAGGTCGTCCATTTACTGTCATCGTAAGCCTCCTGGATCTCGGGAAGGTTGTTAATGTATCTCCAACTTAGTGATTTGATTGTGGGAAGCGACAAGTTGGGATGTTGATAGTGAATAACTCCAGTGAGCAGAGCTCCATTCTTTACGGTCTCGACCAGCTGTCCGTTGAAGAAAACAGATGAGATAGGAGTTGGCGTAGATATTATTTCAATCCCAGTTGTGGCGTTAATGTCTCCAGTAACGAAAAGTTTATTGCCAGAAACTTCAGCTGTGCGCAGCAAATATCCAGCATTTATAATGACGGACTGTTGTGCACCAGATGATGAGACATAGCGTCCGCAAACCTCATCCGAAGGCAGGTCCATCACCCAGTAACTGTAAGCTTCATTGCGCGATAGCATATGAACTTCTAGTTCGTTGCCAAATGCAATCATCTGCCTTGAAGGCTCGACTCGCCACTTCACGACGGCCGCATGGCCCATTTTCTTGACCTCCAAGGTCTTGCCTTCAACACCGCAGGGCGATCCAAGGCTTTCATGGACCGCAAATTCATGCAACTCCTCAGCGCCTCCATAGAGCACGAGGACAGTCCTATCGTGTGATTTCTTCCAGGTGAAGATCTCTGCCGTGGAATAAATCAGCTTGATATTGCCAACTTCATAGTCAACAACATGAAACTTTGAGTCTCGACCATTTAGGGTGAGCGATCCGCCAAGTTGTGGAATGGTAAGGATACCCATGCTTGTTGGCACCCGTAGACGATAGGCAGTTAACCCGGTAGATGACAGATCGGCATGACGGACAAGGAAGAATATTGTGTGGTTCGAGGTCAGTTTTGTTGTGACAAGGTCATGAGCACTGGCGTATACTCCAAATGTGCCATTATCTGGAAGGGATACTAAATACTGAGGCGAAGCTCGGAGGAAGTTTGCCTGTAATTTCAGCTCGCTATATTTTTCGCGATCAACTTGGCGATTTTCGGCGATTGCGGCCCCGTTATCATAGGAAGTATAACCGCCTGGATGGCCAAGGTGTCCCCAATTGGTTCCGCCAAAGACCTCAAGACATCCATCAGTGAATTTCTCGTGATCATGAGACTCATTGACCTACCATGTAGAGGCTATGAATTGTAGCCCGAAATCCGTAGTTCAGTTTGTAAAAGACGCGTTCAAAGTCGGCACCAATATAAGCCGCTGCCTTCATCATCCCAACCCCGCCCCTGGGCGTACAATTGCATCAGCACAATTAGCACGCATTACTCGATGGTCGGCTTTGGTGGGTTGGTGCGCATACCAAGCATCTGGCACACCTCCTTGAAATTCAGATATAGACATAGGAGTATGCGGGCTCGTTCCCATATGAGTGCTGAAATTGTACACGGATAACGGGTTCGTCAACCTTGACCAGTCCGAAGGGTCATCGGCTGCCATTTATCAGTGCAGATCGAGCAACGGTGCCACGAGGTACTTACGAGCAGTGGCCCACGCAAGGGGGTAATCATCAAAGCTATACATATCCACAGCGCCCAGTCCATCCCCTGCCGCCCAGTTACCTATAGGAATGGCGTCATTGTCAATGAACGGAATGACAATCCCCGCCTTCCGGTATTGCTTTTCCACGTATGCCATGTACTCTTTCTGAAGACAGCCAGCATTAACAGTACTGAAATTTGCTGTTAAGTTATTGCTTTAAATATAACCAGTTATATTTAAGCACAATGAATATTCATTCTCAGGTTATACCAGGATTACCAGCCCACCATTAGTTACTTACACCTTTGCAATGATACCACTAATGGTAAGTATATATAGTGTTATTACTTTAAGGTAATCCTTATCTATTATCTATAGGTGCCCTTGTAACCTTCTAAGCTATCCTAGGAATCCTCCACTAGAGACTTCTGAGTTAATATAGGGGCCTGGTTGCATAATTAAGTAAATACCAGCTTGCCTTATAGCATTAAAGAAATCTTCCACTGTAAAGACACCATTAGGGCATATTTTTCTATGTTCTCCTTTAAGCAGGGCCTAATCTAAGTAGAATAATACTCCTGAATATCCTAAAGCCTGAATTTTCTAGAAGATATCAAGCTAGAGACCAGGTAAAGGAAGTTAAAATAGATAAAACTCACCAGAGAGGAAGAGTAACCTCTCCCCTTGAATAGAAATAGAATACTAATCCCATGTTACAATGCTTTAGAGTAATCTATTTTGGCCCTGTTCAGTAATATTATGGTGGGGCACTAGAGCGTAAGTCAGATGAGGATGCGCCAGAAGCAGTGACCGCATGCTGAATAGCAGCATTCTCACAGCAAACAGTTTGAACATCCTGGTGGTTCAAAAGTAAATGCTGAAATGGGATGTCACAACGAGCAATAGAGCAATCAAAACACTATCAGGCTTTTAACTGAAGATGGTCAGTTGATTGTATACACCATTTAAGGAGGCGCACAGGCCGGTTAATTAACTAATAGAGCAGATACGCTCATAGCTTGGATTCAAGAAACACCTTGTACATATCAGTTATGGCGTGAGCTGAATGGAAAATGCCCAAGAAGCGGGATTTTTCTTAGTTCTTGGCTTCCACAACTAGCCAGTCGGCGAAATCCCAGCATCCCACAGCGGAACTCCTTTGAATGCCTATCACTGCATGGAACGCAAAGTGGACAGACCCAAGCCTCAGAAATTCATGGCTCTCCTCACCTACTACCTTATGTTAGGCGATTGCAAATCCAGCTTACTTAAAGCTTAAACTCAAAGCTCAGTGAAAACGCAAAGGCACAGTTGAGTCCCCACTGGTCCTTGCGGGGGACTCGCGAAGTTGACGGCCAGGCATGTCTAGCTCTACTATACCTAGAAAAGATCAAAGTCCGCGCCGTGTGGGTTGAATTATTTTGTACCTTCGAGAGATTTACTACGAGTAGACACTAAACGCGTATGAACACAGCTAGACTAAGTGGGGCGAAGCCAAACAAAATAGGTTGGCGAATCAGCAAAAGCTGTATCCGCGTATAGATTATTCGCCAATCAAAGTTCCAAGCCACATGGTCTGAGGCTGCTGGGAACAAAACTAAACTATAAGATGAGTATGCGTAATCTAGTGGATGCGATTGGTCACTGGGGCTTAGACTTGTATGTACCTGCAATACTGTATATGTATGAGATTACAAGCACGTAAATAGTAGGTCTGAATTTCTCTGAAGTCAAGGGTCGACTCATCAAAAATCTCTCAATCTCTGCCCCCAGCCGTTTCGCGTAAGGAGGTAGCGTGGTCCGGTTAGCCATTCCGCATCAATGGTAAATGTAAAAATGGTAAGCTGCAAATCTGATTCCTCCAATCAATCTATCTATCTAAGTAGCACCTATAAATATAGCATACATGATATCGGTAAGGACAATATAAAACAACATAAACTCTCTGAAATGGGCGTGTTGAAACTATAGTAGATTCTGCCGATCTCACGGTCCAAACAAGAATACAGAAGGTGGTATCTTTCTGGCATTTACTGATAGCAACCAGGATGGTTAACGCACCTTCCAGACGAGTTCTGGCGAGACTGTCAACCGGATAAATATATGTTAGCCGCTTTCGGCCGTTGCAATATGCACATTGACCTTGATTCTGCTACCCAGCTATCGTGTAATAATATTACCTTAGTGCCTTCGTCCAGCAGTCATCCTTCCCTACAGGTGTCATCTTAGAACTTAAAAGTGCTCATGGAATTACCGGGGTCGAGACTGGAGCACATCACCGGAATCTGTAGGACCCTTACAGGTCAGAAGATAGTGCCCCAGATTCGTTTTCTGCGGAATGTGCAGAGACCTCGCATTTTGCCTATATCCCGGAAAGTATGAAAGCTAAACATATATAGGAAGAAGGCATATTACCTCCTCCTCAAGTTCCCTTTTTTTTTATTTTTATTTTTTTTTTCCCTTGAAAGGACCTTGACTCCTTAGGGAATGCAACATGTTCTTCTCACTTCTTGCAGCGTTTATCACTGCAATATTCGCCGCCAGAGTACTACCCCAGAAGACGCTGGCTTTCGATGCGGGTCAGTTCAAGGCACACACTTCTCTCAAAGTTGGCGGCAGTTTATCATGTAAGAAGTCGTTGTTAATTCTGACAAACAGTAGACGACGCAATCAACGCTACTAAGTGGGCTACTGCGAGAGCCAAAGCAGATCATCTGATAGCTAAGTTAAATTTGACTGAGAAGGCTTCCATAGTCACTGGCACACCCTCTGGACAATGCATAGGCAATCTTGCGGCGATTGAACGCGTCGGATTCGGCGGCCTTTGCCTATCTGACGGGCCACAGGGTCTACATGTCGCAGATCTGGCAAGTGTCTTCCCTTCAGGCTTGACTGTGGCGGCAACATGGGATCGAAAACTCATGGCTCAACGAGGTGCTGCTATGGCAGTCGAGTTTCGGGGAAAGGGTGCCAATGTCATGCTAGGGTTGGTTCTCTTTCTTCGATGAGGCTTTTTTTCTGCGTGTATTAATGTCAGTCATCTTAGCCCGACAATTGGTCCCATGGGCCGCAGTCCATGGGATGGCCGCCTTTGGGAGGGCTTTTCTCCGGACCCCTACCTCTCGGGAGTTGCGGTTCAAGAGACTATCCGAAATGCTCAAGCAGTCGGTGTGCAAGCTTGTGCCAAGCACTTCATTGGCAATGAACAAGAAACCCACCGGACCAATGAAGTGATTGACAGTGTGGATGTTGCTGCCGTCTCAGCCAATATAGATGATCGCACTTTGCATGAGTTATATCTTTGGCCTTTTACAGATGCTGTCAAAGCCGGTGTTGCTTCATTTATGTGCAGTTATAACCGTGTCAACATGACATATTCCTGCGAAAATGCGCCTCTTCTCAAGTCAATCTTGAGAGATGAGCTGGGTTTCGAGGGCTATGTGATGTCGGATTGGTTTGCAACGCACTCAGGTGTCCGCGCTATTAACGCCGGCCTTGACTTGGATATGCCAGGCTTTCTGAGCGAAAAGGACTTAGGCTCGTATTTTGGTCCCAACGTTGTGTCTGGCGTTAGAAACGGAAGTATCTCGGAGGGTCGACTGGACCAGATGATCCAGCGGATCCTCACTCCATACTTCTATTTGGATCAAGACACCGACTATCCCACCGTTGACCCATCGTCATACGCTGTGCTAGCAGCTACTTACGGTCTGCTTTCCCCTGGTGACCCTAGTCCCAAGGGTCGAGATGTCCGCGGCAATCATTCATTGTTGATTCGGGAGATTGGATCTGCTGGCACAGTTCTGCTCAAAAACTCGAACAACACGCTCCCTCTCAAGACACCCAAGGTCATTGGAGTTTTCGGCAACGATGCCCCGGACGTCTCTACAGGGTTACTCTATCCCGACGATGCTTACGGGCCTAAGATGGGGACTCTTGCAGTCGGCGGCGGCTCTGGTAGTGGTCGTATGCCTTACGTTGTCTCTCCCCTAGAGGCTATCAAAGCGCGTGCAAAGGATGAAGGCTCTCACGTGGTCTATCTTACAAACAATGACTTGATCGCAGCAGGAGACCTCAAGAGTATCTACCCTTGGCCCGACGTCTGCCTTGTGTTCCTTAATTCGTGGCTCGTTGAAGGATTCGATAGAACATCCCTCGAAGCCGACTGGAACTCCACTCTGGTTGTTAATAACGTCGCTTCGATTTGCCCCAGAAAGACTGTCGTGGTGACACATACTGCCGGTGTCAATACAATGCCGTGGGCTGAGAATGACAATGTTACCGCCATTCTGGCCGCGCATTACCCCGGTCAGGAGACCGGTAATTCAATCGTGGATATTCTATGGGGAGATGTCAACCCGTCTGGAAAACTTCCGTACACTATTGCAAAGGACGCCTCCGACTATAACACCCCCATTCTCAATCTGACTGGCCCGGCAGCTACTGACTCCAACGCATGGCAAGTCAACTTCACCGAGGGGTTGATGATCGATTACCGGCATTTTGACGCCCAGAGGATTAGCCCCTTATACGAATTCGGCTATGGTCTCAGTTATACTACATTCAATGTCTCTTCAGGCCTTTCTGTTGAGCGTCTTGAACATGCTACTGGCCACATATCCCCGTGCTCACACGCTTCCAAGAGGACGACCCCGGCGGGTGGAAACCCCGATCTGTGGTATGAGATGATTGGCGTCAAAGCAACGGTCACTAACACCGGAGGAGTTTCAGGGGCGACTGTCCTGCAACTCTATCTTTCCTATCCCAGTGAAAAGATGCCTTTGGGAACTCCTGTAAAAGTCCTCCGGGGCTTTGAAAAGGTGACTTTAGAGCCTCGGGCCAGCCAAGAGGTCCGGTTCATTCTAAGGCGTCGCGACCTAAGCTTCTGGGACACTGTAGCACAGAAGTGGAGGATACCCGAAGGTCACATCCAACTCAGCGTGGGCTTCAGCTCCCGAGACCTGCATTCGTCCGCTTCGCTGCGAATTCTCTAGAGCAGCGATCTGTTAGCGTTTATATTTTTTTCCATAACACTTTATCCCATGGACGACAATGAGCTTGTTTCACGTCTTGCCGAGGCAGACGATTGCCTCCTATCCACGTCGTATGATACTTTGATGTGAAATTTTCCATTCTTCGCTTTTGTCTCTTCTCTACTTTCCCTCGTTTTCTCTTGTCCCCAGATCTGGCTCTGAGGCACAAGTACAAGTTCAGTTAAGGTGTAGAAATTTATAGTCACGCATCCCCTACGAGCAAGCTCCGCCCGTCCCTGTCAGGCCCTTGGGTATCCATGCTGCCACCCCCCATCCCAGCCACTGCATCGCCCCTGGACTACAGCCCCTGCTATCTAGGCAGCCTAATCTAGGTATTATTTAGTTCATCTTATTATGCTGCCTCCAACCATCCTAGTTATAGGGTCCTAATCTACTAGTGTAGCTGCATAATCAGCATGTACCTATCAGGATTAGCTTGCTAAAGAGGTTTTACTAGGTGCACTGTTCCCTACTAGGGCTATACTACTTCTTATACCTAATAATCTAGGTTACCTAGCTAGCCTGCTAAAATACTCCTAGGTCCTATTCTAGTATGATTATCTATACTAAACTTAGTACCTATTAGGGGGCGGAATCTCGTGCTAGAGGTGTACTACTACTATAGGGATATATATCTCTGCCTCCTATCTAGTTTAGGCCTGTGAACTAGCAGCCTCCTTACTCCTATAACCTAAACTAATATTTTGTCTAGTATCTAGGCAGCCTCCCTTATTAATAACTACCATCTAGGCACTGGAATCTCTATCCTAGACTATAAGTAGCCTACCATACTACCAGGGTCCCTAACTAGTTTTATAAAACTACTAATACTATTATTATAGTTATTAGGTAAGTATTCCTTTTAGCATAATTAGATAAAACTAAGATTAAGTTTTAGCTTATCTTTATAGCTATTATATACTAGTAGGTAGTAAGGCTCTTAAATTTCCAGCCTATCCTATATAGAGTGCTATTAATTATGTATATAGAGAACATGATATAGAATAACTGTTTATATAAGTTTAATCTCCTCCACAGTAGAGATGAGGATTAACTTACAGCAGTAAAGACCATTACACCATCATCCCAGCCAAAACCTTTCATAATCCACCCCTGCATATAGGCTATAGCAGCACAGCATGACCACTATAGTTGCAACTGGCATAGACATAGCCACCACCACCTAGACTGCCATGGCCATTTAATCCTCATCCTATATCCTGCCCTAGAAAGTCCTCTGAGTTTAATAGGATAAAGGTTTGCAGTTTAGGGAATGTGGTTTATAGGGAAGAGCACAATTTAATAAACTGAGTTGCCGATCATTAACTAGCGCGTCAGTGGAAAGTAGATTTTCGAGACTTCAGGGGCGGCATCTGGTAGCAAAACCATGAATACAAAATTAGTATATAAAGATACAAAACCGGGTCTCAACGGGTCCTTCCAGGGAACATGCAAAGGCAAAGCTCTCTAAATAGGCTTTTACATAGCGCCATATAAGCCGTGAAAGTCTGGGCGCTGTAAACACTCTATATGTCCATCCAACAACTGACTCTTTGAATGGCTTATCTATTGTGCAGCCGACTCTACCCCCCGATAGCCCTTGTCTTTTCTCAGCCCTTGGGTTTATTTTATAACGCAAGACCCCCTGCAATCTTCTAGTGAGAACTGATGTACTCCCCGCACCAATACTCGGCAACCAGTAGTCTGGAGTCTGAACTTACCAGCCTAGGCCAAGAGGCCACTCTTTCACCGAAGGATGGCACCTCCACATGGGTGTTCGCCTAGCGCCCCCCGCGAATCAGCGCACTCCAGCCGCGAAACAAATGAGTAGGCGGAGTTCCATAGGTTCTCCATCAGAGTGTAATCTCCAAGTAGCATCCATTTTCCACCGTGTGCGGCAGGCAAAAATACGCAGTACCCTGTTCATGATAGGCCGATGGGAAAGGGGTCATCATCAGCGAGCGACGACAATCAAACACACACAGTTGCTAAATAATCGTAGCTGCCAAGAGTACAGCGGTCAACCGAACTACCACACCAACATTGCATTTGGGAGATCCGGCGCCGCTGCAGAAGATTTGGCCGGAGATCCCATCCAACCTAGTGCGTCTTGAACTAAGAACAATTTATTCCCCGAAACCAACAACGATGTCTTGATGCTCGACAAAGCGAACACCAATAATGCAGACAGTAGAAGAGAGAGTGGTATGCGTAAGGTCGTACAACACGAAGGCGTCAGTAATTAGACCCCATCCAACGTATTTGTTGAAGATTGTCACATGTAATCATGCTTTCTTAGTCCCCTCTTCCATAAAACAAGCATATGTCAATCTTTGAACCGGACGCAGGAAAAGTTACAATAACCTAAAACTAACTTATATCGTACAGAAAGATCAGGCTTCCATTTTCTGGACCCAAAACGTTCTGGCCTAAGACAGACACACCACCCCTTAGCGAGAGACCTGCACCACTAGCTTGGTATGTAGCTTGATTCTGGAGGAATCAGAGTCTCTGCTCATTCAGTCCCTTTGCTGGGATGGGCTTTTCAGTCATTGCCCACAGTCGGAAAATGTGTCGCGGCTGGGCACCAGGTTCTTCATCAATATAATCAACAATCGCAGAATCTAAAGAGTCAGGAGGCAGTCAATGATGGGCAGTGCGAACAGGACTCACGGATTGTTGAGCGATTGTCAAACATTACAATCGTTCTGGGGCTCCAGCGGACACGAGCCTGGAAATCATGGCCGGTCGTGATGTGCTGCAGCAAGAACCCTAGCAATAGCTTTGCCTCGGAGACTTTCAAGCCAACTACTCTTGTAATAAACTCGCCATTCATGAAAATGCATTTCTCCAGTAACAGGGTTAACTCGGACTAGTGGGTGGACAGTATCAACGGGATCCTTTCGTACCAAACCTCCCGCAGCGCGGGCATGGTTGCTGGACGAATGAACAGCTTGGAGACTGTCAATCAGAGCACGGAACGTAGGAGATAGTCGCCTCTATGTACTGTCAGCGCACTTGTCTCTTTGGTAACGTAGGATTTTAGGCACGCATTACTTGTAAGCAGCATCTGTACCAGCAAAGACGGTGTCTCCTCCCACCTTCGGGCCCTCGAGCAGTCCCAGCATCACGTATACCCGGGGATGAATATTATAGCTAAAATCCTGATGCCAGGGGGTTGTGGTGGTTCTCCGCTCAAGAAATTGAGCTATCTCATTCTTATTTCCATCACGGTGGATGATGTGGAACCTCGATGGTCCTTGACAATTCCTGAGACAGGCTGGTAGTTGAGCTTTCCAAGATATCTCATGAAATTTTCCTGGGCACCAGGACCATCATCAATTAGATCTCGGTCGGGTAAGGAAACGACCTTGCGCTGAGAAACAAGATGTGCCAACTCATCCATCGCAGCATCAGAAAGCTTCTTAAGCTTCACGCCCTCTAGAATGGTGCCGAGCGACAGCTGGATGTCATTGTTGAAAAACATCCAGTTGTACCACCGCACGCGTACCTTGAAGGCATCTCCAAACTGGGCCGTCCAGGAGTTTAACAGTTCTCGTGGGCGGGCCGACAGAGTCAGCCCACTCCGGTTAAAGGGCCATCCAGAGGGGCCGGGGATACCTTCCCGCTCTTTGGACTGCTTGCGCGAGTAATTGACAGTCCTAAAAGCTGGGAGGAACAAAAAGGCACTGGCGAAGCCGACAAGGACCGTTGGTCTATCGAGGACGGAGATGGAGTGAAGGGGAAGGTGCAGGCCAATGGCTTTGCAGTGGTCCATATTTGACTTGGAATACTTCACAAATGATGAGCAGCTACACCTCCTGCTTCCATCAGTGCCTTTTATCTCTTGCCCTGGGCGTGGATAGGACTTGTCTCAGGCTCGGTCGAAGATGGTATCTTCCCGCTGTTCGCTTGTGGAAAGCACATCCAAGCATGACACAGCTGCTATAGAGCATGAACTAGGTGGTAAAGGTCTAACTGGCTGTCTGCTCATCGAGCCCTATGTCCGGCAGGATCACTCCCCAGCCTTGTGTTATTGTCGGTCATCCGAACATCTACCAAGGGCAATGCCTTGTTTTCGTGCTTGACCATAACCAGACTCTCCTAGGCCCTCATTATCTAGCAGACGAGAAGAAGGTTATGAGCAGATATGCACCGCACCACGCCTGCTAGGACCAGAATCCATATTCGGACAGCAGCGCATGGTCCGAGAGGAGCGCCTACGGGGGACGATGAAGGTTGTCCGTGGATACTGGACACTCAACCGGATGTTAACGGAGCTTGCATGCATGATGTATGTCGCCACCTCTATTCTGAAGCCGCGAGACCGCAGGGTGTGTTGAAACTTTGAGTATAGCTCCCAGATCTCTCAGATGAGTGACAGGAGACGGTCAGTCCAGCGCCGCAACGAGAGGACCCTGACGTAACAGGATACGTGTGCTACATGTACTCGGAAGATCGCATGACTAACTGGCACGACGTCTTGGGCCATGCCCCGGAAGCCAGAGAGAAGGGCTGGAAGTCGATGAGGTGCTTTTTGAGGGTACGGGTCACTGCGCGCACATGCCATATGATCCTTTGCACGGTATGTGGAAGCAATCTAGAAAGCACGGGATTCTGCTGTGTGTAAGGTAGAGTCCAAGCTGTAGTTAATTCTGCAGTATGCATCTCATTACATACATAGTTGTATAATTGTATTACTAGCTGAATGAATTGGAAACTGCAGGGTCTTGTTAAAACCGAGAATCGGTATCAGCGCAAGGATGCTTCCTCAAAATATGGATATGCTGTCATAGATACCTTCAAGTCTGCCTGTCTAGGTAGTCGAAAGCAGCTAGGAATGTAACTGATGCCGCAGATAACCTAGTTGAATGAGGGATTACTTTTAGTTTCTCCGTACATGGATATTTCTTCATCATAGGCAGCGGTGATCCTTAAATGCTTGCGAAGATAAGAAACTTAGATGTTATAATCCTGTCTGTTTTCCTCACTGCTTCTCAGTCTTGTCTTTCTTAGCTTTTCTAATTATCTCTCATATCATACCACATGAGAAAATATATATATGTCTGTTGGATACATAATTCTAACAAGACTACTCACAAGCATATGTGTAGACTTTTCAGCCGAATGTCTAATCTCTCCAGCACACACACATATATATGTATATATATTCTAGAGTCAGATTTGCCCACAATGACCCCATAGACTATCAGCATCTTCTTTTTCGACAATGCACCGCTAAACAATCCACAACAATACAGCTACACACACAAGTAATATAGAATTTTCCGAGGTTCAATCGATCGCCAGATGAGCCCATCCCCTGCGACAAACACTCTCATCGAACTGCCTCACCCGGATCTCATCACTAATAGCCCATACATCTTCCCCCGGAACTCCTCCCAGCGTTATGAATCACACTTGCGGTTCGCTCGTCTGCTCCAGGAAGCTGGATCCTAGAAACATATAGGGAGAGATTTCCCTCCTGTTCATCCTGCAATGTTCGGTTAAAACACACAAGGAGGGAGGTCTGTTTCAGCACTGGTGTCCCGTTACGCGACCAGGGAAGTAGGGAATCGAGGCTCCCCTTGGTTTCAGGGAGCGGCCGGTTAAAGGAGGAAGGGTTGAGAGGGAGCACACTGGAGGCCTCGCCGACTGTCACACCGTTGAGCGCAGAGCAATATTTGCGAAGTCCTCGCGCTCAAGCATCGGGGCCAGCACAAAATCAATAACCTCAGCCGCATTGGTAGCCTCGATGATCCAGTCCTGTAGTTTATTGGCTTAGCTCATTAGCCTCTGCTCCGAGTAACACAATTCCACAAAAACTTATGGAAAGCCGTCAATGGCCCCCACCATGGGCGCCGCCGTCTCGTAGAACGGGAAAGAGCTCAAGCGAGGCCCGTAAGAGCAGTCGACCAGTCCGCGATTACTACGTCCTAGTAGAAGTTCGTGGCCAAGTAATGCTCTGCATGCTCCCAGTAGGCATCCATCGCGATTTCCTTGCCAGCCCAGTTGGGAAGCGCAAAAGAACTGTCTTAGCAGCCCCTTTTTTTGAAGAGCGATTCCACTCCGATGGGATGAACTGCATATGCCTGGTACATTACTTATAACTGCCCTTAGCAGTACAGATTGAAGGAAAAACAGGACAAAAAAGGGAGCATACGGCGATCCAGGTATCCACGGACAGAGTGACGTGCGCTCATGGTGCGCAATGCCGCCAGGTGAACGGAGTCTGCCACATCATGCGTATTTGCCAGGTGATACAGCTGCAAGTGGAATAGATCATTCATGTCAAAAGCCATCTTAGCAAACAGCCAGTCGTGCGTCTCATCCATCGTGTATATGTGCGGAGGCCACTCCCCATGTTGGTCGTGATGGCTAGAGGGAGAAAGTCGCCGGAGCGGGTGGATAAAGAAGTAGGCAGTGCAAGCGGCTGTTCAGCGCTCAGATGTCTCGGGGTATGGAGCCTGGTACAAATGATCAGTAAAGAGAGGCACCCCTTGTGGCGGAGAGCCTCGAGGGTTCTTCTTCCCGCCATGTGCTGCACCACTCTCTCATCGACCATAAAGGGGAGACCGCCCTGCGCGGGTGAAGACGCCGGACCACATAGGGATTGATGGAGAGCCGTTCCATAGAGAACAGCAGGTCATGTGTCCCCTTTGTCCGCATACTCCATCCGGCACGGTGGAGGCCCATTGGTCCTGATAGATGGCTGCGTAGCTGAAGGGAGCTTGTATCCTCCCGCCTGGTTCAGTTAGCAGGGTCCTCCCACAGGCGTGGATTCCGCCCGCTAAAGCAACTTTGCCAGCGCCGTGGCTGCCTTCTCCAACTCTGGGTACACATTGTTGGTGACATATTCCACATCGAGAGACCACTCTGCCCTATCTCGGGCGAACATGGCACCCCTGAGCACTCCGGTAGGAAAGAACGATGTTTTCCCAAGCAAAGCAACTTAACTATAGTATAGTAGAGAATTTATTACTTATAACATATTTCAGATGTAATTAATACATTTGGTGCTATCATTTATAGCTGAATAGTACTGTATATAATATAGCCTAAACTTCCATACACCAATACTGTGAATCAAGCTATATGCCGGAATCATCCTGGAAACGACCTTTGCGGTGCCAGAATTTGTCCGGGTTAAAACGCCATTCGTTCCAACGCCGGCACGTCCTGTCGAGTTGTCTTCTGTCCCGAGGTTGTTTGTCCATCAGGCGCTTGAAATCATTTTTGCTTTCCAAGATCTGGAACGCTAGCCCAGCTGAAGCATGCCAGGCGATATGGCAATGGACTGCCCAAGCACCGGGGTTGTCAGCTTTAAATGCGATGACTACAAAACCATCCTTTGGCAGAAGCACCACGTCACGGCGAGGTGGATTGTTATATGTCAAATTTAGTGAACTTGGCCCTTTGTAAGTATACTCTGACTGCTGCAGTAGTGCGAAGTCATGGCCGTGGAGATGGATCTTTGCAAAAAAGTCAGCATGGACTGGTGTCCTTACTGGTCTTCGGCCCACATACCGGATGCGCAGCAGGGATCAATCGACCGCCCTTTGGAGGACCCAAGTTTTTATCCTTACCTCCAACGATAACCATGTAGTTCCACTCTTTGTGAGGGGGATTTTTATCAACCGTATATACGACGGCGTTATCGCCAAATGGACTATCAAGATTGCTCACTGTCGGCTCTGAATAGTTCACCCAAAGGGTGTGATCCAACATGTGCCAGTTGTTCACCACGGGGCCTGATGGTATGTCAGGTGGCTCAGCAGGGAGAGACCAGTTTGCAAGCATGATCGTCGCGTTGGGTAGATCAATGTCACCCTCTTCGAGAGAAGGCACTGTCCATGGAATGATGGGCCGCAGTTTTTCCGGTGGCTCATCACGACAGGTGTAGTTGTATTCACCCTCACTTGTTGTCGGCCATCCGCAATTATAGCCCTTATAGCACAGGATGCCCTGCCGTACGTCAAGTCGATCAGCAAAGCTGTTGCAGTGATCAGCTGGCACAGTCCGTATCCAAAATTCATTGGTCCCATTTCGCTGTTCCTCCGGCCATGTGTTTAGCACAACATGGTATCGTTGCCCTGGGTACATGTCAGTGCGTACCTCCACCGGGTGTGTAGAAGGCAATTACCCACCAATTCCAATTGCCAAATGGTCTGTTTCATAAGGCTCAATAGGCACCAGGTCCGACTCAATAACAGTAAAGTTGTGGTTATCAATGGCGAACACATAGGTTGTATCAGTGGACGTGTTGATTAGTCTTAACAAGTAACGTTTACGCTAGAAATATGTTTAGGATAACACTCAAAGCAGGCAGAACGAAGACCTACACCTTCAACCTCCATTGGATATCTCCTAAGCAACATTCCAGCATAGCTCCCTAGAACGCATTACGCACATCAGTCATGACCGCTACCAAGGCTTGCATAGATACGCGAGCGTACCATTTCCGTTGATTAGGATGCTGGTCATCTTGGGTGGCGCTCTATTTTTTCCGGAAAATTGCTCCTGATAGTAGTCTTGGAAGGCACTTCTGTGATTATGGTCGCCCAGGAGAATTGGGTCAATGGACTCATCCCAGTTGGCCGATGTGGGTCCATGAATGGTCAGGGGCCCATACATGCCATCACTATATTGAAGTGAGTAATGGCTGTGGTACCAGGTGGTGCCATATTGTGTGGCTCTGAATTTGTATGTAAAACTCTCCCCTGGTGGAATTGGGCACTGAGTGACCCCAGGTACGCCATCCATCAGACTATTATTAAGCATGCGCAGCCCATGCATATGAATGGCCGTTCCATTGTAAGTGAGGTTATTCGTGACAGTGACGTCTGTTACCCATTAAAGTCAAGTAACAACTTAATGACCTATCCATGTACTTACGAACTGAATCTCCCCAGCATGCCTCTACACATTATCAGCATCTGTCTCAACGTAGTGCAGAGGACTTACGAATCCAGGGCCCAGGAAAGGTTCCATTGATCAACTTTGCCCCAGGAAAGGGGATTCCATCCCAATTCGCAGTGGTGTCATTACTAACAATGATATGGTACTTTATAAGGGCGTACATCAGTATAAACTCCCACTCCACATGGTGCACTAGATACTTACATCGCGCCGTACTCCCTGTGGCCAGGAAGCCTCATAATCAGTTTTGATGTTGTACTCACGCCCAGTTTTATTATTCCGGAGCCAGACATCTCTTAAATCTGGTGAATCCGGATGCCACCAGCCGGGCAGTCCCGGGTAATTGCACTTGATGCGATTATCTTTACCGGTACCGGGTGGCACAAAAATGGGTGGTGTGGAGCTGAGTTCCTCCAGAGTGGTGTTATCTCCTTTTAATAAAGGAGCCTCATCCACCGAGTCCAGTCCAATCAAGGACGTGAAACCGAAGTACCTGATCAAGCTGATCACGTAAAGCTTAAGCTGCATTATGTAGGGAAAGCCCCAAGTAGCGTTGACACAGTGACTGATTCAACCAGAGATCCTGCTTCCATTGAATGGAGACAGAGGAACAAAATGATTAGATCTCTGCACGAGGATTCCTCTCTTAGACCTTAAATGTCCAAATATATGGGGGCAACCTGGTTATGCAACCCACCACCATTCTGCTTGTAGCAGCATAGGTCAAGGACGTCACTCTTTCCATGACGACCTCTACATACATCATCGACCAATTATGCAAAGAAACCGCTACCGCTCCCTATAGTGTCTGTCAAGGTTGATGAATATGGTAAAAGCGCAATCGACGGAAGCGTGCATAGTTGCAAACCTTATACTACTTAGCTTACAAAGGATAACCATTGGCACAGCCTTCTTACACTTGACTTTGGTAGTACGTCAACTATTTGAAACTCAGAGGCCCCGACCACTCTCTAGAAGCCTTAGGCTTAATCTAACACATAATCAAGACGAACAGGCGCGTTTCTTGGAACGTTAAAAATATAGATGGAGCACCCCCTCCCCGCTCTTACCACAGGGTCATTATGTCACTTGCACTACTACAATGCTTCCAATGGGGTGTTCCATGGAATTTATTGAGGTAATGCAGTAATAATCACGCGTAATGGAACCATTCATAGGGTCCATGTTCCCCCATACTAACTATGGTTGCTTACAGTCGCCGCTGCCTGTACTTCTGACCTGTAACGTGATCCACCCCCGAGCCAATCACCCCTCCCAAAACCCAGCAAACTCAGTATTTTGAAACTATTCAAAACAACCAAAATAACGCGGCTTTTCCTTAGAAATAGCTAGAGTAGCGTGTAGGACACCTAACACTTGTGTATTGAGTAATAACGTGTTTTAGAGGACACTAGTTGAGCGCTTTTGATTGTCTGAGTTACTTAGCAGACAGAGGGCTCGGGGGTAGCTAGAGTTGCAATTGGTCTGAGTTGGTGCAAGTTCTGTATTAGGGAAATGCAGTGTTATTGATGACCACTACCAACACAGAAGGGCCAGAAGCTGTGGACCAGCGCGGCCCAAACCATCAACTATACATAAGTGTGACTTGATTGACTGCAACTTGAGCAACTATTTCCACCATGTTCAAAGACGTAGCGTTTTCTTAGTTGCCAGCAACCTCAACCACTCTTGCATTGTCACCCTGATCCTTCCCTTCGGGTTGCGAGGCGCAACTGGGCGTGATTTGGTCTTGTTTCACAGCTTTGGGAGAGAAGAAGACACTAATAGCCTGATTCCACTGATTCCATCTTTGAGACTTCCTTTGGGCCAAGTCTATAATAAAGTGCAACTGTCAGCTTGATTAAATCGCAAGCAAATAATAAGAAGAGCTACTCGCCATTCAGGATATACAGCAGTTCAACTGGTATTGGGGCCCAGACAGTTAATGCAGCAACTTGTCCGAACCCCTAAGCATCATCCTCAAACTTGTCCCTAGCCAAGGTTCGCAGATGCCTTCTTTGCCCAACATCATAGTAAGACCTACTACCATGCCTGCAGTCAACAGTCATATTAGCAAGACCTAAAACAGCATCAATACTCGAAACAGTGTCTTATGTAACTTGTCTGCCTGGAATCTATCCTTCAGAGATTGAAGCCAGAACGCGATTGTTCCCGCGACGGCAAAGATAGCGGCAGTCCATGATGGATACGGTACCGGATTGATGACATTATAATCTGTTGAGCTGTGGGCGCACCCATCAGAGGCAAGTCTCCAAGTATGAGCCCGCACATGTCTCCGAAGTAGGCCCCGAGGCACCGAGTTTGGCCTGCGCTGAGTATAAGCGCCATCCGATGTACTTCCCCAAGTAATGGCTCTTAGAGATCATCACCTCAATTCTGAGCCCGAGCCTCCTCATTGCATCGCCTGCATCTTCTGGTATATGGACAACAAGCCTCTTTCTGCCTGGGGCGCCCGTGTTTCTCTCAGCGCGACTATTTCTCTCCTGACTACCAGCTACACCGCGGCGCTGATGCACGGCGTGAGCCAGTTCATCGGCCAACTTAAGTGGATTCACTTCAAGACCGGATCTCGGAAGCTTTCTGACTTTGGAACATTTGATGAAGCTAGTCGCGGCGGCATATGGGGATCTATCATGTTACTTACCACAGTCAAGTTGAACCTGGCCACCATTGGCGCATTTATCACTATTATGCGACTCACCTTCGCGCCATTTGCGCAGCAAGTGGTCCTGTTCGAGCAGTGACACATCTTCTTCCCCGATGACAGAGTCACCCTTGGATATGCACACAAATACTCCCTTGAGCGGATGGGAGAAATGCCGAACCCTCGTATTGGTAAGCATTTTTGGCGCCCCAGGTCTAACAACAAGAGCCGCTCACATATTTTGATTAAAGAGCATTCCGCAAAATCCCAACATCCAGTCCGCCGTGGTCCAGGGACTCTACGGCATCAACACCCCGGCAACGTTCAGCTGCCCCGGTGAGTGTTGCTGGACTGGATCCTATATATCACTAGGTTTCAAGAGCCAGTGCAAGAACGTCACCCAGGAAACCTTGCGGTCGGCCAAATGTGACGGTAATGAGTATTCGACGCCATGCAACATGACGACACCAGACGGATTGGGCATCTCAACTCGCTATTACTTCACCGATTGGCTACTAACTATTAAAGGCGAACGGCAGTGACTTTTCCTTTGGGAAGGTCCGGGAAGTCGATTTCGGCGTCGCGAATCCCTGGAAACGTACACCTCGTGAGTATGAATGGGGTCGCTGGACACGGGCGAGTTCAAGACCGACAACATTCCCGCACTGCAAATACGCTATTCTAATCTCGCAGCCCTGGAAAATTTCTTGGTGTCCTCAACGATCGTTACCCAGTGGGTTGAAGGAAACTTTGAGAAAAAAAACCTAGGTCTGGCTGCTGCTCTATCTGGTGACGTGAACTTTGATGAGCGATTCAAGAAAATGGCAGGTAGTATGACGGATTATCTGCGTTACGGGCCAAATGCCGAGGCTGCACATGGAGAGAGAATCGAGAGCCAGCCATTTGGTTCGATTCGCTCGCCGTATTTTATTCCACCTCTAGCAACTGAGCGGATGGCGATTTTGTTTGCTGTCTTGACCATATTCAGCAACCGTAAGGACCGCCACGTTCCTCCGTGGAAGACTTCGACGCTTGTCAGCATGAGAAGCGGCTTGGGTTGCTACAGAGCACATTCACGGATATCAAGTTGCTCCAGGACTGGGCGGGGAGGACTGAAGTACGGCTGCAGTAGGAAACGGCTATTGTCAGACTCAGGGTAGTATCCTCGCAGCTAGGACCGCGACTGAGAGGCTTTTGGAATACAACTTGTCAACCACTGATTCGATTGCAACAGTAACAGCACTTCTTCGACCTCCTTGGCCACGGTGTCCTTTCCCACGCCATAGCATTCTCCATTATATCAAGACGATCCAGGTTGGCGAGAACCCTTTTCACTCCTTACGCCACTCGGTCTATTCTCGACTCAAGACTGGGAACGCCCAGAGAACTCGATATGCTTTGCTTCAGCATTTGTTTCCTCACGCTGCCAGAGAGATTGACTATCAACGCTGAAGGTCGACAGAAACTAGCTGAAATGGCGAGTATCTGGGAAGCTCTGGCAAGGGCGGGCAGACATACGCAGCGTCGAGTATGAATGCTATGCAAGCCATCTCTCATCGCAATACTTAGACCGCAAAAAGCGTCGCTGAACGGGTGTCCTTCAACCTTCAATGCGTACAGAATCAGGGTGTAAATTGAGGTTACATTGATCGCTCACCACGTCAATCTCCCGTCTTATAAGCCAAGAGAATCACGAAAGAGCGCCAGTCTGCTCTCAAGGCGGCGGAGGAGTAATTGGCAAATGTAAAGGAGCTGATTGAGCCGACGCTTTTGACGGCTGCGGGTCGGCGAGAATGGTGGCAGTGCTCTTGTCTGCGGGGGTATAGGACTGAACAGATAATAGCTCCCCGGTTCCCAGATTCTCAAAGTCGCTATCGGTGCTCTGTTCTTCCTCAAAGGTCTTTCTGTCCTTTCTATTCATTACTTGGAATTCCCGGACTGACTGAGCCCTATATATTTATGACTGGGCCAGCCGATGTCTGTAAAGCCAACGCAATCAAACTTCAATTTTCGAGCTGACTGAGACGAATCCGTCGAAGTCAGCTTGGCCGGTCGTCATGGACCAGTGGCTCTTGGAACGTATTGTTGAAGAGCACTGTACCATGGGAGAAAAGCCTTCCAGCGCATGTTCGCTGCAACGGAAACCTATAACGGCGTGCGAGATATGTCGGCAGAAAAAGAGACGTTGTGACACTGAGACTCCCTGTGCAACTTGTCGGCGCCTCTCCCATGCTTGTATTCGCCCCCAAAGAAAGAGTGAGATACACGAGATCTTAGAACCTAGGATTCAGCGATTGGAATCTCTGATTTCGGAACTCAGCGGCAACTTGTTCGCTGGTCCAGGTCAGATTGTTGCCGGGCGGACAGAGCAACAAGTCTCTTCTCCGCTATGCTTGTTAAATGATTCTGAAATTATCCGGCACTCCGCTGAAATGTACCAGCCATCTCGTTCAGTCGCGGATAGCGTCTCTGCCACATTAGTATCCTTACCTGCTACACGATCTCCGCGTTATACCGCCTCCGAGGTTCCCGATGCATTCTCTACAAGCTTCCACCAAGTACCAGAGACACTTTCACCAGGATATCCTATGTCGCCTACAACAGCTTCCTCACGTCTGACCGATATGCCACCCCAGTATCTTCCTCTTTCAGCATCGTCCCTAGCCATGGGCACAAACTGTTCCTCACCCGCAGTTCATGATTCTCTGCATTCTGCTACCAGCAAGACCCCGAACATAACCACCTCGCCCACCAGATTCGAGGCCGAGACACTTCTGCACATATTTTTCAACGAGGTCGGAGAGGCTAAGTATACTGTCAGTCGGGAAATGTTCCGATTATTCCTGGATGTTATCTACTGTTCCTTGCCTGTTCCCTACGATTGGAGAATACCCTACATCGATGTCATATCCAAATTCCATGTCTACATGGCAATGGCAATCGGTTTACGGATGAAAACTGAGGGCCACCCCACAGAACGCCAACTTTTGGAGATATGCTATCGGCTTGCACTTGAAGCCGCTAAAGCACCAGGTTTCTGGTCACTGCCTCTCTCAGCGGAGGCGGCAATGCTCTTCACATTATTTGCTCAAGTCAGTTAATGATAGGTTAACAATTATTGCTGTTTAAGAATGTAGAACCCTTTTCTGCTTGACCTATCAGGGTTTGCAGTTGAATTTGATATTGGCCTTGGCGAAAATATATAACTTCCACCTCCTCAAGGCCAAGCGCTTATCAGTACCCCAAAACGCACATATGTGCCGAAACCCACTGCAACACGAGCCGCCAGTTGACTACGGACTGGAGAATGACTGAGAAACTGTCAGCTTACGGTTAATTCTTGCCTTTGGCGACATTAAGCCGGTTGTTGTCTGACATGTCCCGACCCTTTTGTGATCTGATCACCTTGCTCTGCTTCTCATTGGGCGACGACTCCTTGATCGCTCCTTATGGTTCCATACTTCGTTCAACAGCCCCGCACATGTGGAGGCTGTGCAAGGGCAGCGGGTGGTCGAATCTCCAGTCAATCCCATATTGACATGATACCTTCCTTTGGTTGTCTGTTTATGACTGCTCGCAAGCTTCCGAATCCGTGGGGCAGTGAGATCGTTGCTCACTATCGTACTCTAGGTCATCAGGTTTGTGAACAAAAAAGAGGGGCTTAATCGGACTGGGTGTTGGAATGCTCCGTAGTGTAGATATATATTAGAAATATCGTCCAAAGGATTATTAGACGTATCATAGCCGACGGCGGGAAGATGCAAGCTCGGTTACTTGAAAGTGGACTCGCTTGATTTCGTTGATAAAGCAAAGTAAATATGACCGTTTATACCAGTAATGGCATTTCCTAAATTACTAACGTCCATAATATTCATAAAGCTCAAATAATATTCACAATATGACATACCATAACATAGCTACGTTGAATCATATCCGAATAAGCCATGCACGGTTCAGTCCTTGGCCTTCCCGTTTGTCAGCTTGCTAGTGCCGGGGCCGTGGAGTCATCGGCTGTCGTTATATCCCTTCTCTGCCACGTTCTCGATCTGCACGATCTCCTTCTTCTCATCTGACTGGACCCCGCCAATCTCATAGTCAAAAGCGGTGGCGGCGCCAAATAACGCCTCCATCTCCTCCAAGGTTTTTCCTTTTGTCTCAGGGACAAAGAACCACGCCCAGAAGCCCATGCAGATCATCAGTGACGCGAAAAAGAAGTACGTACCGTAGCCAAGCGAGGTAATCATGTACGGTGTGGTGCGACTGATGATGAATGACCAGAGCCACTGGTCGGCTGTTGTGATTGCTACACACAGCATACGAATGTCAATTGGGAAGATTTCCGCACACACTACCCAGGTAATACCCTGGAAGAACCGTCAGCTCATCTCATGGCCAAAGGACATGGCGGGAAAGAGGGGCACTACTTACCTGCCAAGTAGCGCAGTAGATGAGCCCATAGAGGTAGACGCAAACCATGGCAATATAACCCCAGGCAGTACGCACCGTGTCCCCTCGGGCTGACGTGCCTGTTGGGTCCTGTTTGAAGACATAGCCCCCTATGTACCACATTGGAAGGCTGCCTATAAAGGCACCCCATACCAGTCCACTGCGCCGACCCACCCTCTCAACCAGCCACACACTGAAGATGATCATTCCGACTGTTTTTGCGATCCCGTAGAACCCAGTTGCAAATAACTTTGTATCAGTGCTACCGATACCCAGTGTTTCAAAGATCCGTGGGGAGTAGCTTCAAGTCATACTATTAGCGGCTGTGGTCCTTCCAGAGGCGACATTGTGATCCTTACTATGTGATAATGTTCACGCCCGTCAAATTCTGAAAAGCCATCAACAGAAGACCAATGCCGATACGATTCCGAGTCCCTTTTCGGGTCAAGCGCCTCACATAGTACCACGGGCTATGCTTGGTTGTCGGGGGAGCAAGGCCAACTAGGATTTGCTCACGGATCTGCTGAAGTTCGTCCTGGATGAAGGGATGGTCCGCCGGCAGAGTGCGTACCCTTGTCAAACTGCGTTCGGCTTCCTCCCATCGATCTTTTCTAGCGTACCATCGCGGAGATTCAGGACACCAAAAGACTCCCGCTAGGAGCAGACCACCTGGAAGGAGCTGTAAGCCCAAGGGCACCTGCCACTGAGACCTCAGAGAGGAGGATATCGTGCGGTTAATGGCGTAGTTGATCCAGAATCCTAACATGCCGCCGCCTTGCGAGCAAATTTCGAAAATACCAACCAGCCGACCACGGATTGACGATGGAGACTGGACTTCATTAGCTCCGAAGATAAATTGATTACTGAGAAGCATTTTCGTTTCGCTCACCATTTCCGCTATATATACCGGTACTTGGAGAGACACAGATCCAACTCCGAATCCTGCAATGGCACGACCAGCATAGATTAAACCCAGGTGACCGGATGCAGCAGTCTTGAAGAGCAAGATGTTAGTTCGCCTGTCTGGCTGCTCTTGGAAATAATGATAATCTTCTCACCATCAAACTGCCCCCTACACAGAAGACGCTCACTGCCATGACAATCGCCAGTTTCCGCCCAAACCTTTCTGCAAGCGGGAAGGTAAGAAGTGACCCGAAGAAGCATCCAACTTGAAAGGTGGACACAATGTTGCCTTCCAGCGTATCCGTCTCGGACTTAGATACTTTGTCCAGGCCGAAGTCTCGACGAAATGACTCCAGGGCCATGGTTCCGCCAATGACGCTGGTGTCATAACCCACTGTAATGATGGTTCCAAGTATTATTCACTAGAAATAATAGTTCATAGTATGGCATCACGTAGGATGCAACTAGGACTTACTAGCAATGGCTCCCATGCTCATCACCACGGCGATAAGGTGTATTCGCCAATTACGGACCTCAGGTGGATCATTGCTGTTTTTGGCATGGAGGGTGATGCCCATATTGACGTGCGTTTAGGATCAATGAACAAAGCTAACCTCCGGAAGGTTAGTTCAGTCGAAATAGTCGAAACGCTTGGAGAATTAAGAGACCCTTGTGAGGGAGGCTGTACATCTTTATGTGGGTTCCGAACAGGAGACCCTGCTCCGCATCCTCGTCTCCTGTCATTTTCTTGGCAGCGGGTCACTGCTGGACCACGTGTGTATTTAAAGTTATACATAGAGTAACATACATGATTCTTGCTATTTAGTTGCCCAACTACTGGTATCACGGCTGATTAAAGTTCAAAGAATCGATGCATGTGTGTTGCTCTGGTCCGTGCCCTTGCCCCCCGGAGACTTGGCATCCCGCTCTTGATACTGGCGACTAGTTAACAGGCTCGTTCTGAATCCGCCAAGAGCGGAAATTTCCGTTGACTCTGTTCAAGGTTACATGGTGATTCAGAATCTCTCCTCTCCATAGGTTAGCTGAGCGGTCAAGATCTAGACCTCAGGCTTGGCGATGCCAGTCCGGCTATCGTGGCGAGGCTGTGCAACAAAAGCCATGCATTATCCGGGGTAGACCTCGATAATTGCGGGGTGGGTTACGTCCCCAGACCCCAAACCGACCTCCCGCTTCCCCCACTCTGGCCTAAATCAGAATAGTTTTGGAGAATTAGCGTTCAGGGTGCCAGCGAGACGATGTGCTGATTGTCTCGGCGTCGGCTCTGCGGCCTGTGCCCATACCTTGGGTGAGAAATCGGTCCTCGCCGTTTCGCCCACATATCCCTCAGGTCCGTCTTCCTTGGTATACAGCAATCTGCATGTCTTCTGGAGGTTAGGACACACTTAAGTCACGCTGATTGCCGTGATTTTTCAAGGCGCGGTGGCCGTCCGCAAGCACTGCCTCACTCGATCGAAGGCCGAGAGCCTGGGCAACCTCCTCTTGCGAAGTGCTTCTCGCCTCTGATACCCGATCCAAAGTAATGCCTTAACATTTACTGACTAACTTGCGGGCAGTTCCCCAGAGCAGCGGCATGGTGGGTCTCTCTGCGGAGTGATCAACTGCATGCCACCTCTCTTCATGCCATGAGCCCCTTCCTACAGGCCAGTGGCTCGTCGGAGAGCGAATACCAGAAATTACTGACCATCTTCAAAGTCTCATTGCGTTTTATCTCGCGGAGCCATCGCCGCTTCTCGGGTCTCCAAGTCACCTGGGAGCTGGCTTGGCAGGAAAATATGGAATCTTGGAGATGTCCCCAGCCATTGTTTGATACGGCTTGGGCTTTGCACAGCCTTCTGTGATCTGAACAAGTCCAGGCAGCTCTTGGAGTGGAGCTTTTGAGCAATATCATGATACAGTTCTGAAGGTGACGAAAGAGTTAAATGCTCGTTCGGTCCTCCTTGATGTCCCTTCTGACTCAGGCCTGCAATCATTTGTCCAGAGGCTCAGGACGCTACCTTTCCCCTCCTTCCGAATCATATCCAAGCGACATGACGGCATCATCTGAAAAGGAAGCGGGCGCTTCGCCCCAGGCGCCTGTTCCCACTATTACAGTCCATGTTCCGGTACTTATGTGACCCGTCATGCACAAGCATCCCACTATATGCTCAACAGCTAACATTGGCTCAGGATCCCATTTCCGATACTCTCGCGGCCAATGAAATAAATAGAGACCTCCTACTAGAGAACCCCACTCGGAATAGATCGCTTAGTGATCTAACGGCCACAAGCTGCGTCTACGACGGTCGCGATCGAGCGATGAGTGAAACTACAATGGCACCGAGTAGTCCGAGGTTGAGTCTGCCGAAAGGGGAAAAGTACCTGCCGGCTAGCCTTGCATCCAGCATTTTCTCAGCAAATGAGCAAGAGAAAGCTCTGCGACCAGACCCTGGCACTGAGACAGACTTCAAGGTCGACAATAATCCCTTTCACTTCTCTCCCGGCCAAGTTAACAAGCTTCTGAACCCAAAGTCTCTACCTGCACTCATGGCTCTAGGAGGGCTCCCGGGGCTGGTAAACGGTCTTCGTACGGATCCCAATGCAGGACTCAGTGCAAATGAAACCTCAGTATCGGACGGGCCCCATTCGAAGAAACCCTTTGCAGACCGCATCCGTGTCTTCAACCGAAATGTCCTCCCAGAGAAGAAAGCAACACCTCTCTGGAAGCTCATGTGGATAGCCTACAACGACAAGG